AAAAAGTTAGGTGAGGGGCAATGTTTAGCAGTTGATCTGTGCGGCGGTTCACGGTCCAATAACTGTCACACTGTGGGATTTAATGACTTAAATACTGCAGTTTTACTTCCAGCTCCGGGGCTCAGATAAGTGAGAATATTGTTGCAAGCTAAAACCTTCAACTTTCAGAGCTGCGGCACCAGCGCATGACGAGACTTGCCTAGCAACACCTTGCAGCCGTGATAATAAAAGCTGTTGAATGATGGGTTTTCCAGCATGACTGAACCTGGCAGGCCACATACCTGCAGGGTAAACCTATGATTAGGTCTGAAAAGACACCCACGATAAGGCAAAGGCAATAGGTAGCTGCAGCACATGAAAGATAGGAGTATAGTGTCTGGGGATGATGGACTGAGAGCCATTAATCATAGTGGTCTTATATATAACTGGCACTATATTGGCAGTGCTGCACAAGGGTAAAGCGTAATGATTTATACGGCTACACATCCTCAAAATACCGGTTTTTATGGCTGTTGCATAGTGGAGTCTTCAAACACTTGTCTCCAGATGTAATAGCAGCAGTCCATGTGTGGGATTTCTGATCAGCACTTTTTTTTTGGCAGCAAATACTTTACGCTGAATGTCTCACCTGAGAGTTAAAAATAGGCGTTCAGTAATTATAAATCTTTTTTTTTTTTGTTCTGCTGCCAACTCCAGAGCAAGGTGTGAGGTCTTAGCAGCTTCTGTTTTCTCCGGTTACTTAGTTACTAGAGAAAATCAGTCGGAAACATGCCTGCTCATGTAAACAGAAATCACAGAGCTCATTGTGAAGTGTGACACAAGTTTTTCAGTGAAGCCTTTGATGGAGGAGGGAGGGAGGGAGGGGAGAATTATCATTTCCATACACAAAAAAAAAAGGATGCCTGTGTATGAGATGTTTTTTTTGCTGCCACAGTGTTTTGTGTGACAGATAAGTGGAGTATTTCTGTCCTGTTATGATCACCCATGAAGGGAAGCAGAGGCTAATGTAGTGCTTACTCAGCAGTCGTCACTGGGGAAGCAGATGTGCATGAGACTGACTGGATTTTAGCTCAGGGTGAGGGGTGGGGAGGAGGTGTGGAGGGGCAATGTGTCTGTTTGCAAGCCTGCTCATAGTGTACTTTTGTGTGTGTGTGTGTTGAGGCTGAGCAGAAGCCAGTCAGAGCTGGTTCACACCTGCTGTGGTTATAGGAACATACTTAGCATACTGCATGACTGACAATAATTTCACAGCTGCTTCTGCTTCTGATGCACAATAACAGGGAGGGATGGCTCATTTATTCAGCTTGCTTCCCCCTTTAGCTCACGCCGAGGACCAATCCACTTTGTGAATCCCATAAAAGAATGGTTTTAACAGCTCCAACGTTTTCGAAAGGGGTCACCATTATCCTATGAATGTTTGGACATCCTGCTGCAAAAGCCATTCTCATTTGAATAACTGCCATCTTAACTGCAGGGATTTCTTTCATTATTTTTTTATTTTTCTACTCCTGGTGGTCTCACTCTGTTTGCGTACAGCAGATGTTCAGGGCTGAGGAGAATAATCCTAATCTCAGTATTTGGCCAAATGCTGTCTCTGACATCATGGCACAGAGAAGAGGATGACATCATGCGTGCTGTGAATGCTATCTTTTATTATAAGGCCGCTTCATATTTTCAGCGTTTCGACAGAGCCGTATGAGTAATGCATTTTATGCTTTTTACTAGCAGTAGTGACGGATACGAACATTTTAAATTCTTCTAAATCAGTTGCATTAAAACGTGGAAATACCCTTTAGCCACGTAGCGGAATGGCATGCGTTATCATGCCAGTGATTTCCTTTCCTGTTTTTCCGGGGATTGCCATTTGTTTCTTAGAATCCCTGCATCACATTGAAACCATTTGCGATGCTTCCTAAGGAAATTGGTACAAAGTTATACTGGATCTCACAGACAAACAAAGAAGCTGAACTAGTTAGTACTAATTAACATACCTACAGCTAATTCTAATGAAATATTTAAAATCATATGCTTTGGTAATCCCACCAGTGAAGATATCTGCTGTTAGGAATCAAGTCATACTCGACTTTTCAGCCGTCTAACAGGAAGTATCTTATGTCATCAGGAGGAACTTATTACAGATACGTTATCTTTTCAAAACAGCCCTCAAAATCCTCCTCTTGTGAAACATCAGTCTTTTCCCAAAGATATGTATGTTCTCTGAGGAGGAAAAGAAGTGTGAGTTTTGGCAAAGAGAATACTGGGTCATGTGTAAAGCAGAGCCACATGGAATCCTAGTGGCAGACCGAGGCAGCCATCTGTTAATACCAGAAGTCTCTCATTTCATGGCCAATTTCACCATCCGGTGATGTACAGTAAGCCTGCGTTCACCAAGTGCAGGAACAAAGTGATATTTGTTTGCAGTTTAATCTGCGGCCCAGTGAATGAAAGGGAAAATTCCTCGCTTCCTGCTAGACCCGGCGCAAAGTAAAAGGTCATCCATTTATCATGTGGTCTTGCTCTGGAGCTACAGAGGAGGCCATGCTGGGACCTGTCTTGCTGTCTGGTCCGCCATTCACACAAAGCCATATGTTGCTTATGCTGCTAAACAGCTGAGTGAGCCAAAGAGCATGTCTGCACTTCAGGACGGGCTTCTACGTCATAAGTGCCTCAAATAATGATGTCACACCGAGGGCAGAATCTTTAAGTGTCACCAAAAACAAACCATTTAATAGTGAGTTAAAAAAAAAAAATGCCAGAAGCTATGTCAATGTGTGTCTTATTCCTCCAGGTAAATATAAAGATTTACATTATTCGAGCACTAGACGTAGAGCAGCTAAAATCAATATTTCCACAGTAAAATTGGACCCATCACTGATGTGAAAGCTCGTAATGACAAACCAACACAGAACTGGCATTCGATGCTGTACTTCACTTCAGCTCCACAGAGCCCTTCTACTCATTATTTAGTTTTTCTTGCCCTCAATTTTTCTGTTTTGGTTTAGTCTCACTGCTCTCATGGCTTTGTTTTCGGCCGCAGGAGACTGCAGTTTTCATGAAATAGCTGCAAGACCAGCACCAAACAGCTGAGGATCCTAAAGAACAACATACTTCTATCAGCAAAGTAAGATTAGAGAAGATAAGATACAACTTTATTAATCCCGAAGGAAAATATTTGGCCTGATATTGCTGAGGAAAAACAAAATGACATAACATAAGAAATGTGGTGCCTAGTAGAAAAGCAATAAGATATAAGTAGATACATGACTAAAAATAAAATAAGTAGACTGAAATAAGACTCAAATAGAATACTAAAAAGTAGGCATTACTTCCTAAATTTATCAAAACACAACTCTGACTGCTAATGTATTTTAGAAATGACATGTATTGACAGCTATAGTTAGTAGCTACCTTACAAACCAGTCATATCAACCTGTAAACAGCTAAAATACACTGTTCCTGAATAAATCAGCAGTTTGTAAAGAGGTTAAAAACACCATTCAAAATGTAGTTTCATGTTAATGAATCGACAACAATATGTATAATAATATGTGACATAGGACTGTTTTGCGCCAGGATCACTGTTAATACTTTTTATTTTCATTGTGAGACTTAAAGTGGAGGCTTTTACTGTTGTAGAATTACTGCCTTTTCTCAAGTGTGTATGATCTGAATAGTTCTTCCAGCATTTTACTTGCAGAGCTACAAGCTTCTTTTCTGAAAGTGGTAAAAATAGATAAACCCTCCAGTGGTGCATTAAAACAAAACAATTGCTGTTATTCATTTGAATCAATGAATAGTTATTGTGGAATTTGAGAATTCTGTGTGTTGTAGTCTTGCTGTTCTATGGGCCATTATGACCAGGCAGCCCAGAAACAGTACTTCAGTGTTCTCAGCACCAGAAGTGGGATGGAGCGTCATGATACAATATTCTGCCTGTTCCAGTTTGATTTGCAGTCCTTCCACTCTCTCTTTGTCTAAAGTGTTCCACTTCCTCATTGTGTATTTATGGCAACAAAAACAACCTACCATTCTCTCTCCTAAAACAGACAATCATTTAAAAATCTATATTTATTCAGACTGTGAGCATTTAATGAATCCCCGCTTCCCGTTCATGTTTAGAGAAGTGTGTGATGTTGCTTACGGATGATGAGAAAATCATTCTTTCACACCAGACTATTAATGGCACAGAACATCAAACATAAGAAACAACCATCACATGACCTAGAAAAGGAAGAATAGGTGAGAATGGAGCTGAAGAAGAGAGCTGATGCTCATTTATTTTTGTGCCTTTGTGAATGGTGAATAACATGGGACATTTCAAGAGATTAATCTGTAATATTTGGTACTGGACAACTTCCAAGACCATGTGATGTAGAGAAGCAAGAAAAACAGGAATCCTCTAAAACCCAAAAGCCTGCCGGCTTCAAACGAGGTCTGCGTGTGTGGGCGGCAGAAAGATGGTATGAGTAGTTAACGCCTTCCAAACTCTAAATCGTGTCCGGGGTATTCCTCGCTCTTCAGGGGACTTTATGCATCTATAAATCATACTGAGTAGGGAAAGGGTTATGAAAACATCACGCTGCTGGTGTAGCTGTTTAACCAGTTTCAGGACAATTTCACGGTGGATCATGACTCTTATGTGATCTGATGGTTTGAATAGATGATTTATAAATCAGGAAAACAGCAGAGCAGTGTCTCTCTGTCAGTGTTGACTATATATAGAGCTCTGAGTCTGCCTGACTCCCTCTAAGCCAATGGAATAACCCTTTTTTTTTTTCTCTCCGCTGGTAGAATAAAACTGAATGAAGTCAGTTATATAACACCGATAGCTTACCATTACCTATGCAAATCCTTCTCTATCTCATTCACGTTCAATGGTCAGTGTTACATGGGCGTGAGCATTACCCACAATGAGGAAACAGGTCTTATGGTGGCTTATGTGTCCCTGAAAATCCACATTACCAAAGGTGGCTCATAACCGCAGTGTGCGTTAATAACAGCAGGCATGAGTCATCAGGCCTGCCTTACATAACTGCATCACTTCTCCACCCAACTTGCTGCGAGTGTGCCACACCCCGGATTCATTCACACTCTGCTTCGCTGCTGCCCAGCCTCCCATTGATGGTAAAGAGAGTGAACTACTCATCCTGCTCAACGCTGCACATGGCGGCTCAGGGCTTAGAAAGAAGGCAGGCAGAAGAGCAGCTTAATCTGTGTGGCAAAAAAACTAACACCTCAGATTTGAACATGACAACTTTTTGCCTTATATCATCGCCTGGTTTTAAAACAGTATTTTTTTTTGGTGAGATAGTAGAGCTGATGTAGTGTCCCATTTTTATTTTTTATTTTTGTCAGATTGTGGAGATTGGTTGAGTGGAGCAGTTGTGGTTCAAGGCTGGTTGGGGCTGATAATCCCATAAGTAACAAATGACTATGGGGACAGAGTTAACAGGACCCCAAGGGAAGCAGACGGAGACAGAGGGAGATGGGAGGGCCCTGGGACGGTGTCATCAGTCAGGCCACTGACGTCACCTGCTCACACAAAACACAGTCAATCCCATTTCACATAACAATGTTTTGTTTTATTTTTTAAAGGTCAGTTTCATATTTTAAAAAAATACTGCACATTCAGTATATTTATTTTTTCTCATCAGTCAGCATTAAATGAAAGTAAAACTACATTTTTTCAAATACTGCAGTGCTGTTATATTCTTTATTTTAACCCCTTAGCCATAAACATAGTACACTTAATCACTACTATTCGTATTTTTAAACTGTCCTGGGAGTTTCTGTGTTTTCATCAAGTTATTATCTTTCTTTGGCAAGAGTGTCACTGTGCCACGAAATGTCTCATCTCCAGCTCACTGTAACTGAGCCAAACAGATAAGAATGTGTTTTCCTGCTGACATCAAGTGGCCATAGTGCAAACTGCATGACTCCTGGCCACTAGAACCGCAGCCGCGGTCGTGTGGCAATGATGGTTTACCCAGCTAATACTGGGAGCATGTTTTGAGATGGTTTGGTTATGTAGTCCTGAGAATCCTGTGAATAAAATCTGAAATCACTGACAGAAAAAAAAAAAAAAAAAGATTTTTCCCAAAAATCTATGTTTGATGGGGTTAAATAAATATCTGCTCTGATTATCAAGATATTTCCGCGTTATACAAAATAAGTTAGAATAAAAGCTGCGTTAACAATAGCATTGTTGCTGCTTTGTAGTTGAACGGCATTCTTTATATGGAGAAAGGCATCTGATTGTCAACTGGTGTCGGTCAATCCAGATCCCCTAACATGGGCACTAACATGATTAGACATAAATAGCTCCTGTCTCAATAGACTGTGTAACTAGATACTTACACGGCAACCATGTGAATAGTTTGCATACCGTAGACAAGAGCCACTAGAAAATACAAATTACACAGATATCTAAAAATTTACAGTGGACAGCTTAGCTTACCACAAAAGTGTTTCTTGTTTGACAGTAATACTACATTTCAAGCCTCCTTTTGTTGCCTGTAAAATCTGAAGAGCAGCTCAGCAAAGAAAAAGTTAAATTGTAAAATATTAGTTTATGCCCTGATGCAAGTCTTGTGACTTCATCCTGTACGCTAGAAAAACTTGTAAACAAAAAGCACTGACAGAATCTGCAGGATTCATCCAGCCAAACACTTCTCAGTAATATCATTTGTGTCCCTAAAGTGAATACTGTGATAAAGCTGAATATTTTGACGGAGTGAGAAACTGAGAAAACAACAGCACTGTCAAATGCATCTTGTTTATTACATGAGCGCACATTCCAAACAGAGCTTTCATGTAGAAACATGCAGATGTTCCAGGGACATGAGAGGGGAATAAAAAGTCCTGAGGGTGTTTTAGACACGCAGAAATGTATACAATGTGTACATCATAACACGTATAGCTACGGACTGGATCCAGTACGTCGCTCATAACAGGATGATTAGTCCACCAGAGCTTGCTGTAAAACTACGTTGATTCATGGACATGTTCGGCTGTGTGCACACATACATTTTCTGCCTAGGTAAACAATATCTCAGTAAGAAAATTGATAAACTGGCTGTGGCACTTCAGAGATAACCCGAAACAAACACAATGTTGACTTTTGAAAACAGCCAAAGGGGGAATATTGCTCGGCCTCTTAGAAAATATAAGTCATTTTTGATACATTTACACAAATTCACTCTACATGGGCACCAGTGGTTGTCACAAGCTGTATTTACAACAATGCAAGAGGTGATAGAAAAACACATAAACATTCAGATTTGACTAAATCTTGCAAAGTCGTCCCACTGTTTTTTTTCAACGGCATCCAGTTCAGCTTCCAGTCGTCCACAGATGACCGTGGAGTCACAGAGAAATAGAAAAATAACACTCTGGATCTTCTTTTGTTTGGGATTACTCCACTCCTTTCATGAACTCCAAGAACTCTGTAAAAGCAAACAGTTGAGCTGCGATGAAACTGTAAAATGTCTTTATTAAGCAAATGTCTTATTTGGCATGTGTCTCTGAGGGATAAATGATTATACAGTGTTTGGAGCATTTGCTCTCCAAATCCATTTCACCAAGTCTCATCATGTTTTAAACACTTCTCACCATCGTAGTCAATTTTGCCGTCGTTGTTCTTGTCCCCGTCTTTCATCAGTTCCTCGATGTCATCCTCAGTAATTGCCTCTCCTGTAGATTCCAGCATCATCTTCAGTTCTTCCAAGTCAATGTAACCGTCTGCGTTTCTGCACAATCAAAGAGGGGTAAAATGTATTATGTGTACCTTACAAACCTAAATTAAGCTTTACAAGTGCTGGAGGTACGCAACTGATCATATGCAGAATTTAAGCGCCTGGGATCCATCACTTTAAGAAAGTATGGCAAATTTGTTCTGTGATACTCAGATGAGGTGTCTGGCTTACATGGTGTGGGTGTTTCAAATATTCTGAGCTGTCAAAAAGGATTATAGAGCAAACTACATGCTATACTCGGCGGAGCGACTTGGCATTTTGTCAGTACACATAATTGCACACGGGGAAGCAGACTTTTCTCGAATGAAGAGCAATTTGATTCTTTACCTGTGGTAATTTTAGGATGATAGCGTCGTCTTTGTAAAGATATTTTGTCAAGTCTGTCAGTGGGTTTACACGTCTTATGTTATAAGATTGCGCCAATTTACTGCTCTTAGTGCATTTATTCTTAAAAGTGGGATAATGGAGCAAAGCTGCAACAGGATTTAAACATGACACTCACTTGTCAAACATCCGAAACAGCTCTGCCAGCTCTTCCTCCGACTTTCCTTTGCTGTCATCCTTCATGCATCTCACCATCATGACCAAGAACTCATCGAAGTCTACCGTGCCACTCCCTGCACACACACACACACACACAATACATCATTACACTGGAATTTTGTATTATTTAATCACCAGGACTCCTCGGTAAAGGCACAGGCTTCACACAAATGTATCCAGCCAATCCATCTAAACATAAACACAGTGTTGGAACCTGCAATTTTGCTCATTCATATGACAAAGAAGTACAGAAAGTCCCCGTTTATAGTTTTAGTTAGTTCCCAAAAATGTGACAGCATGACATATACTGAACACTGAGGCTTTTTCAAACAAATCCCTGTTGCTATTTTTTTTGTATGTTTCATCATTACATCACACGGAAAATTCAAGATGACTTGTGCATCATCTGATACACATTCCCTTTAATTCAGTCTGACACATCTTGTTGTATTTAAGATCCCTGACTAGCATTTGACATTAAGTTCAGAGGCTTTGAACGACGCTTGTCTGCACAACATGATTGCACAATGATGGACTTGCCCGCTGATCCGTGGGAACGGCGAGGTCAACAACAACCAATCATTTTAGTTTCCCTCACTGCAGTGTGGTGGCGTTTTTTTTGATTTACCATCTTCGTCCACCTCGTCAATCATCTCCTGCAGCTCCTCCGGCGTGGGGTTTTGACCCAGCATCCTCATCACCTTCCCCAGCTCCTTGGTGCTGATGCAGCCGTCCTCTGCGTCTTGTACAAAGATGTCAAAGGCGGCCTTGAACTCTGCAACACCCCCGGCAGCACACAAACAGACAAGCCTATTACAGCACATTTGGTGTTGGACGAGGTGAGATTTTTTCCCTGCAACGTCACCCAAAGTTATATCTGAAAACACGTTTTTAAATCGACTTGACGGCAAAGTAACAAGTTACATGCGAATGGTAAAATGAACTGAGCAGCTTACGCACCATTTTTCTGTTCATCTGTCAGCTGTTCAACCTGTAAAAAGTGACAAACCTACTTAGTAAAATTTAACACCACCATGCATGTCTTCACATTCTGACATCCTCAGCCACAAAGTATGGATTTAGTTACCAAAGCTGAAAAAGTCAGTCTTCAAAATATTTAATTAATCAGCTCTGAAATTTGGGAATTGGGCAAAAAATATCTCAGATATAAAGTGTGAAATCAGCCCCCTGGGCTAGATTATCTCTGTCTGTTTTGACAACTTTTCAGCAAACAAAGGTGTCCCACACACTGGGCCACCCCTGACAAAACACACAACCTATATATCATATGTGAGAACCAGTAAGAGGAGGAGTTTAAAAATAAACAGACAGGAGGATCAGGAACCGCAGATAAAGGACACAATACACAGTGCTTTAAATTAGCATAGCTGTGGATCTGGCCCAACAATGGAGCAGTAATCCTGGAAAAGCTACCACGAATGAGAGAGGGAGACAGCTGCTTATGTAAGAGTTATTGTCTGTCGTCCACTATAAATTAAACACACACACGGGCACGCATATAGACGCCCCCGTGCGCGCGCTCCTCTGGTGATGATATATGAAAAACTCAGTCTAAACAAACACGTGTAATATACATTCCTGTGTGTTTTTACTGTCTCAGTTGTGCCGCTCACTCGGGATGTGAGTGGACTGGACAGCCGGCTGAGGTGGACAGATAGCCACACAGCTCTCAGGATCACAGATAATGCTGGAATTCAGCCGTGTGAGAGGGGGGTGTGGGTGGTGGGTGGTTTATCTAAACCTGAAGCTTTTTTTTTTTTTTTCTGGCACCAGAGATCCGTGGACACAGAAGCATCTGAGCAATTGGCCAAAATTAGCCAAGTGGAGTGGGACTGCTCCATTTGAAGTCATGAATGAAGCGGGGACGTGTCCTGTCAGTGACCTCATGAGTGGCTCCTATCGGCTCTGATAGGGCTGAAGCAGGAGAACGTAGAGAGACGTATATGGTGTTAAGGCCTCTCTTGACATCAGCTGGTGATGGAGGTGATGCGCTGTGCAAGTAACGTCCTCGGGGATTTGTCAACCAGTCAAGTCATGTCGGATGAACACACTGATGGGACAACTTTTTTTTTGCTTTTGCAACAACACATAAAAGTGCTTTCCAGATAATAGCCACTTAAAATAACAATGCAGTCACTGATCATACATCACACTCATGATAACTATTAAGGATTGTGATCTATATCAACATCGCTCTCATGCCAGATTAGTTCTCACAGAGTTTTGCTGAGCATCCAACAAACCAAATCACTGCATCAGAGGAACTTTCAGTTGTGTGAGTTGCGAGAGGACGTACCGCTGCCTTGTAGATGTCGTTCATGTTGGAGTCTTGTCTGCTGCCTGTCCCGACGCTGTCCTGGCACGACGGAAGGAGGTATTGTCCAGCTCAGAGCAGGACTCCGGCCTCATCCTGGGAGGGTTTTATAGCCGGAGTCTGGCACTGTCTGGTCCCTCCCTGGACAAAAGCAGCCTCCCCTCTGTTTGCGCCTCATTGTGCGTCCGCAAAATGTGTGTCTGTGTATGTGTGTCATTTGGCCAATCTGTCACAATCGCCGGGCTCAGATAAAAATGCAGCAGCTCTTAGGGGGCACACTTTGGAATGGAATGAAGTGAGGGGGGCACGCATGGCGAAGTCTAATCTCCAGGGAGGGGGCTGTGGAGACACTCAACATTCCTGTAGACCTGGACCAGAGACGCACAGGGCCCAGGAGGTTGTGTGTCTGTGATTGTGTGTGTCACTGGGGTGGGTGGGGGTGACAGAGGAGGTGAGAGGGTGGAGGCCAGGATGGAACAGACGCAGTCCGCAGAACGTGGAGGAAGGAGGGTGGCTATGGAGTCAGAGCAGACAGAGGTGTGAGAGGTGTACCATGTTTTTCCATGGCAGAAATTTTAATTTGGCATAGTAGGACAGTTACAACATTCATTATAATTCCATTCAGCTCCGGCTTATAGTCAGACAACACCAAGAGGCGAGGCCAGGGACACCTAAATGGAATGCAGCCATTTTTAATGCTTAGCTACACCTGTGTTTTACTGCTGTAACATGCATGTGCTTTAAACCACTGGCGTTCTCACGTTGTTAACTGTGGAGAGAGATACAAAAAAGAAGCAAAATTAAAGGTTCCATTCACCCAAATGACAAAAAAAACCCTCACTTCTAAAGGCCTTGAGGTTTCTGTCTCCATTCCAATACTATTACTAGGGCTCAGGATGACATTAAACAATTTCGATAACAACATCTCTTTCCACATAGAGCGTCCTTGTTTCTCTGGATAATCCCCAGACGTCACTGTGAACACACTCGACTGGAACTTTCCTTTCTGAAGAAACAGTCTCCATAAAACTGTTGACAGTTTGCTCTGTGGATTATCTAGTGAAACAAGATCAGCGTGTCTGGAGAGACACGTTGCTGTTACATTGTTTTATATGGAACACATTCGGTCGTCACCAGAATACAAATTTGATTCATCTTTGTTATCTGAGGTGCAGTAAAACAGTAAAATGAGCTGTCTCAAAACCAGGGAGAGCAAAATTAAACATGTCATTTGTGGATGAAAAAAATGAAAAACTTGGAGGAATCAATTCTTTAATACGACTGTTACCTCCACATACTTAACAACATGTAATATACCTGCACTGATTAGGTACAGTACAGGGCCTTGAAGCAGAATTTAGCCAACAGTCAAAATCCACATGTGCACATTTATGTTCAGTTACAGTTAGCTGCAGACACAAGATCTACTGGTCTCTCTGAAAAGAAAACACTTTGTTTACTATGTCATTTAGGTAACACAAAAGATCAAGTCCATTTTATGTTTTGTCACTCATTTCATGATGATACTTTTTCTCCCGATTATTTCTATATTCTATAATGCATTGTACATAATATTTCATATTGTCATTTCTGATGAGTTCTCCTGGATAAATGCTTAACCTTAAGTGTAGCTGACTGTATGTAGAGAGCATCAGGATGTTCATGTCTGAGGAATTTTCCTTGCAACAGTATTTTTAATGCTGTCTTTAGAGTCCATATATGCTGTGTAAATGTGCATGACTAACTAACTAACTGCTGATTTCAGTTCATGGCTTTCATGTGCAGCTCAGACTTAGGCAGCAGAGGGTGCTGTACACTACACATCCACCAAATTAAATTGTTGCACAAGGCAGCCTCCGGATATCCAATTTATCAATAGTGGGGTAGGTGAGAAATCTGGGTCAAACAAACCAAACACTTGCAGACACATTTAAATTGAATTGCACACAGTGCAAGGCTTTGCTGCTTCTTTTTTTTCCATGTTCCTTTGAAACAAGGCCATCTCAATCACTTGACTGTGTGATTCACACACACGTTCGCACACGTGCGCTCACAAAAAAGCTCTCTCTCTCTCTCCCTCTCTCTCTCACACACACACACACATGCACAGACACAAACACACACAGACACACACAGAGCACGCTGTGGCAGCCATTCTAAGTGACGAGTGATCATGCTGGTTTATAATGGGATGCTAATGGGGACTGGCACAGCTTACAAGCATCATACAGCCACTCAGAGGGAGAGAGAGGAAGCTCACACTGAACAACATACATGTCCTACTCTCACACGGGTCTCCTGACAAAAAAGCTCTCGTGTGCATGTCAGTCACATGCACAAGTTTGCGCGTTCATGGAAAAATGACTCATGGTGAGGTGGGGAGGTGCAGGGGGCTGGAGGGGCAGGAGGCAAAAAAACAAAAAACATTTTGTGTTTGTGTTTTTGCAGCCATTTGTCAAAATTTCATAATCGAGACACACTGCACTGCGTTGCACGTTGCTGTTGGAATTCAGAACAGAAATGAATCGTCATCAATGGCATCGACTCAATCAGCTGAAACCCAAAGCATACTGATGAGTCTACATGGTCAGGCAGACAGATTCATTTGGAAAGCTGAGTGCAGTCTGGTTGGTGCCAAGAGTGATGAGCAGCTCTGCAGGGGGCACTAGATTCTAATGTAAAGCTTTCTTGAGCGCGCACACACACGCACGCCCACACACACCCGCAGTCGAACCAAAGACTGGCACACACATCAAAGAAAGCATATGGAGTGCTGTTTCATTGGAGCTCTACACCAATTTCCTCTTACAGAGGAAGGCTGACGAAAGAGCCAGCCATCTCCTCCACACAGCGCAATCAGACAGCGCATCTCAAATCCACAATTCACCGCACACCGCTTTTTGAGGGGTTGCCATAGAAACTCTGCTGGGTAGTAGCGGGCAGAAAATGAGAGGAGATGAGCGGGGCTATTTCCCCCTCCACCTCCCTCTCTGTCTCCCTGCCACCACATTTTGTCCTCAGAGTGACTGTATTATTTTCTATTCTTTGCCTCCTATTTGAATACGTGCACGCGTCAAAATTGCATATACATGTGGGATGTCACAGTTGAGGTTAACAATTATCATTCGGCACCAGAGCCATTCGTGCAAATGAACTAAATCCAAGCATTTGATGTCTCAGGATGAATACTGGGATGCAATGCTTTCAATTCATTTATACTTTCATTTAATCAGGTTACGTGACGTGTTTTGAAGTTTGTACGTAGTGCTCGTCAATCCTGCTCATCACAATCACAGTTATCTGAATGACTTGTTGTTTGAGAGGCTGAATTTCCATCAGTAATCAAAACCCTTTTACTGCAGAAAACATTCTAGATTCCAAGTGTGCAATACGTCAAAATACCAAAGGTGTGACAACTTAAGCTGGCAGGTCTGAATCAGCTGGACTAAAAAGACAAAAATGTGCAGATCTACGACTATATACAGCAGACAGCATCCCAGTTTAAATGCTCGTGTGATATAATGATTGGGTTGACGTGCAGCTGAGCTTGAAGCATAGGTCCTATGCTCTCTCCTCCTCCTCCTCCCCTCTGTGTCCTCACCTCCTTGATTGCCAAGAGGAGGAGGGGAGCTGAGCCTGTCAGCCTCTCTTTCTTTCTCTTTTTTCTTTCCTCCCTCTCTCTCTCCATCTATTTCTCTCCCTCTGCCTCCTTTCATTGATGACCAACCTGTCAGCAGCTCCTGTTGTGGCAGGCTGTGAATGCGCTCCATGTGACTGAATGATACACGGTTTTTCTTTCTTTTCTTCTCCCCCCCCCACTATAAAAGCATCTCTGTCCGTCCAGTGAGCTTGTTTCAGCAGAGAAGCCTATTTTCTCATCAGTGACAACGGCTAACCCAAATTGAGGGATTTGTCTTTGGAGATGCAGGGAGAGGGAAGTCTTCACTTTGCTTCACTGCGTTCAGTGGTTCCTTTTCTGAAACTCTTTTGCGGTGATGCACTTGGTGTTACACAGTGTTCTTTACATCAGAGCTCTAATGAGCCAGTGGCCATATTAGCTCCAGCGCAGATAGAGCCACGCACTAACTTTCTGCCAGGGGGCAGCGTTTTCCAGTCCACTGGACCACCAAGTTGCCTACCACCCTCTCTACCCCCCCCTCGCCTTGCCGCCTCCCAACCTCTATAATAGTGTACGAGACACCCAGGAAAGATTTCCTCTCAGATATATGGCAGATGAAAGTTCCCTTCAAGCAAGAGGGAAAATGCATTTGTGCTATGTGGCAGCAAAGGGAGCGGTCAAGGTTTTGTCTCGGAGATTAATCGTCGGATGAGTTTTTCTCTGGCGAACTTGGAAAAATAAATAGACTTGTCAAGTGAAACATGAATAATTCCTGTAGTTTTTGGTTCTGTTTGGCTAACTGCCCAACTATAGCTACAATAATTTACAACATCATGCTAAACAATATTATTTTAAGTGCTAAAACACATCTGCATCTAAGATTCTATGGTGATGTTGTTGTCACTGTACAAAAAGGAACGTAGGTTATTTTAGTGTCTGACACAGACGACATATTCAGGCACCTTTACGTATGCTAACAATGTGAACAGAACAGTAGGAGCACTTTTCAATATAGTGCAATATGTACATGGGCCCACTTTGACCCCAACAGTAAACGTGAAAGTGTCAGCAAACACTGACATTCTGTAAAAGTGGAAGCCATTATATTGGATTGCATTAGACTGCAAGGGTGTTCCTAATAAAAGTGCTAAAGCTCCCTTTACACCCTGCAGAGACGACAGTGAGGGCAGAAAATTAGCACTTCGCCCATGTCCTTATTTAAGTTTTGATTTTGTTTGGTTAAATAAAATGACTTCTGTTTGGGGTATCAGAAACCTCAACGGTAAATCATCATTAAATGTAAGAATTTCAAAAGCTCTGAATCTGCGGTTGGTGTCGACCACTTTTTATGCAACGCTACACCTCCCAATTATGTCACATTGGATTTGTGTTGTTGTTTGATAATGGCTTCGACTTCTCTGTGGTCTAACTGACCCGAA